TTGTGGCAGTGCCTGACCTGCCTGTCTCCAGTCTGGTAGTGGGGAGCCTGGCTGGGCTGTGTGACTCACCCGGCAGCCACGTGAAGTGGAGCTGGCATGGAAAAGCCATGTGAGGCCAAGGGCTCTTCCTGGAAGATTGCTGCATGCTTGCATCCCCCTGGAGCAGTCTTCACTGGCACAGTGCAGCTGCAGTGAGCGTGCTGGGCCCTCTCCTGCAGCCACAGGACCAGGGTGGTTCCAGCAGCTCTCCCAGAGCAGTGGGAGCAGAAGGGGGGTTCAGCTCTGGCCCAGAACTGGCCCAGCCGGTCCTGAGAGGCAAATCCAGCTGATGGTAACAGCTCCAGGATCAGAGTTAGCAGCAGGGCTCAGAGGCACTCCTGCCCAGCCCCTGCTCTGGGCATGATGTGTCCCATCCACCCCAGCACCTGCCCGGCTCAGGCAGAGACAGAACTGTGGTTGAAATGAGCCAGTGGTTAAGGGGAGGCAGGGGGGGATCACCTTTCCACCAGAGAGCTGGGAAACACCCACAGGATGTGGATGGATCCTGGTGGGACTCCCTGGTGTGCACTGACACAGTGCCAGGAGCAGCCTGGCAGCTGGAACTGAGATGTGATAGCTGGGACAGTGTGGGCAGGGATCGATGCCAGCTCCAAACCTGCTGCTTATCCCTCTTTGCTCAAAGCAGAGCTCAGCAGCCCTGGCAGGGCCCAGCCTTGCTCTCAGCAGCACATCCCAACAGCTGTGTGTGCATCTTCCAGCTGCAGCTGAAGCCTCGTGGCCTCTGCAGTTTAAATTACTGCATCTGCAACCACAACTAAGCTCAAACGTTCATTTTCCTCTGCACATTCCTGTCTCTCCACTTGAAGCAGACACAGCTCGGTCCCAGCAGGTCACAGGCTCAGACCAGGCATGACAAAGCTTCCCAGAGGAGGCAGCTCCCTGCTGTTCCCCTCCTGGTTCCAGCAGGAGCATCCCCAGCTGTGGATCAGGCAGGCTGGCAGCCAGGAGCAAGACGCCAGTGAAGCACCAGGGCAGCACCACTGGGCAGAGCTGAGCCAAGGCCACGGCTGACTGCAAGTCATGCTGATGTGGAATCCCTCCCAGCCTCTGCCTGCAGCACATCCAGGCTCTCCAGAGCCAATCCTTGCCCATCACTCACAGCAGCTTTGCTACAAAAGTGGCAACTTCTCCCACATCTTTCTTGGGGTGACTGTGTGTAAAAAGGTGGTCTGGGGGTCAGGGGACCCTGCTGCCGTGCACCCACAGGGTTGGTGGTACCAGGGAAGCACACAGGGAAGCAGCTCCTCCCTCCAGGCAGTTTTTAACCCCTTACAGCAGGCAGGGAGCACCTCCTGCCCACCTCCCCCCAGCCCAGGTGAGGGGTGTCAGGCCAGGGCCACACAGCCCAGCACAAAGCTCCACCCGAGAGCAGCTCCTGCTTTCCATCCCCCACTGTCCTGGGAATCTGCCACCCTTCACAAGAGGCCTGGAGGAACTCGGTGTCCCACCATTCAAGAGCTCAATTAGCCCAATCAATATTTGGTTAGGGCTTTCATCATCTTTGTCAGTCGAGTCTAAGTATGTACTTAAGCTCAAGTACCCTGGAGACTTTTCCATAGCTCCCCCACTCCCTGCTCACCCAGTGCTCCACATTCTCCTGACTCCAAACACTAAAACCTGGTTTCACCTAGAGACTTAGAGCCAAACAGGCAGAGGCAGCAACAGCAGCATTTGGAAACAACCCTAAGGACAGCGAACCCCGTGAGGAACAGCAACAGGGAAACTCATACACTGCAAGCACATGGAGTGGAGACTGTGCCAGAAAAACCCACAAAGCCTCCACTGCTGGATTAGCAGGAGGGCTCAAAGTGAACCTGCAGCATAAGCAGAGAGCTGATAGGCTGGGGAAATGGTGTGACATGTCACCTGTGTCACATCAGAGCCACTGACAGGTTTTTGTTGTGGCTCTGCTCCACAAGGAAGCGATGTAGGACACCCAAAACACTGATCACAAACACATCCCCATTACCCTGTGCAAGAAAAGGCAAGACACAAGAGGTAAATGGGGGTAAATGCAGAGATATTTGACATTTAGGTGTCACCTCATGCTGACAGGATCCCAGACACCTCTGAGCAGGGCAGCAGTGCCCCTGCAAACCCTCTGCAGGAAGGGAAGGAGGAGCCCCTTTAAAGAAGTGGAGCCCCAGGACTTTGCTGGGTGCTCTCTCTCTCACAGGGCTGTGCTGTCACAGAACACAGGAGCCCTCAGTGGTGTCACAATGTTTATTAGTCTGTACAGTCCCCAGCAGATGCAGTTTAGATGATTCCAATCTGGAAAGAAGCAAAGGATGTTAAAACAGATGTTATGGTGGCAGAAAGGCAGAGCCTCCACCACAGACATCACTGCATCTCCCCAGGATTCCTGTCCTCCAAGGCTTCCTCCTCCCAGACCTGCCCAAGAGCTTCACACATCCTCTTTGTACACTCATCCCACAGCGATCCTTGTGCTGTGCATTCCCCTACTCCACTGTGCACCACCTCTGCCTCCTGCCTGCCTCAATCACCTTCAACTGACTGAGAACGTGGCTCCTCAGCACTCACATCCTGTCTGGCTACAGAGCCACACAAGTGCCACCACACAAATACCTCATGAAGAACAATCAGTGGAGGAGACACGAGACAAGGTGCAAAAAACCCCTTCCAAGTTCCAAAGAGATCTCACCTTGTTGGCCACATCCAGTGCATCATAGTCAGGAGCCAGTCGGACGTAAGCCTTCTTCTCTCCATCAGGCCTAGAGAGGAAGAGGAGGCATCAGGACAGAGACAACGCCTCCCTCCCCCCTGCTCCACATTCCTGCAACCCCATGTGCATCAGTGGTTCCTTTGGAAACATCACATTACTCAGTGAAATTGAAGTTTACATCATTTGCACAGGACTCCCTGGGTGCCAGAAGTGCTCCCTGAGGAAACCAACCCTCTGCTCTGCCAACATTTCCCACTTCCACCAAGATGTGCTCAGTCCAAAGCTGCACTTAGCTGTGGAGCTTTGCCCCACATCTGCTCAATCTCACACATGTATTCCCATTTTCTGCCAAAATGAAGCACCTCACACCCAGCAGTGACCTGTTCTCCTCCCCCTTCTCACCTGATCAACGTGTTCACCTTGGCCACATCGATATCATACAGCTTCTTGACAGCCTGTTTGATCTGGTGCTTGTTTGCCTTGACATCCACGATGAACACCAGAGTGTTGTTATCCTCAATCTTCTTCATTGCTGATTCTGTGGTCAGAGGGAACTTGATAATGGCATAATGGTCCAGCCTGCAAGAGAGATGCTGTGATTAACAGAGGGCTGGCAGGTGCTCCTCTGAATTTCAGGGGCTTTCTTTGGGGTGCATCAGTCACCTAAGGTTATAATCACAAACTCTCAGGCTTTGGTCGCATAAAATCATCACCTGCATCCCAAACCACCAGGTCCCCACAGCAGCCCATTCACAGGGCTGCTCCCATCCCCAAACCCCCCAGCAGGACAGAGCTCTCTCCCCACACTCACTTGTTTCTCCGTGGGGCGCTTTTCCGGGGGTACTTGGGCTGCCTCCGCAGCCGCAGCGTCTTGGGCCTGCGGAATGTGGGCGACGTGCGGATCTTCTTCTTCTTGTGGCTGTGGACCCCCTTCAGGACGGCCTTCTTGGCCTTCAGCGCCTTTGCCTTAGCCTCTGTCTTCGGAGGCACAGCTGTGGGGAGAGCTCAGTCAGCGCCACGTGGATCTGCAGGGTCGGGGTGTGCTCCCCGGCCGGGCACGGCTTCCCCGGCAGGACCTCACCCAGCGGCCCGCGCTCCCTCATCCAACCACGAGGAGCCCCCAAAACGCCCAACTGAGTTAAAAGTCTCCCGTTTCCGTGCGGGAAAAGGCGTTTATTCCCTGCCCATGCAGGATTCCTAGCACCGAGATGGGAACATACCCCGCCTCCCTCAGACAACCCGGCAGGCCTGTCCACGTGCCCGCGCCTAACACAGCGCTGGAACCCTGCGCCACTCCCCGCTTCGCTCAGCCCGGCTCCCCCCCACATACACCAGCACCCCGCGGGGTCCCACACGCCGCCCGGGAACCCCAACCCGGACCCAGCGTCCCGTGCCCTCACCCTCCTTCTTCGCCTTGGGCGCCATCTTGGCCAGGCGGAAGCCGAAAGGGGTCTCCCACTCCGCGCAGCACGGGCTTATACCCCCAAATCTCGCGGGAGCAAGACGGAATCCCCACCACCCCTCAGCCTCAACTCTCGCGATATCCTCGGAGCATGCCGGTAGTGGTAGTGCTCGCTGAGGGACTCCTGCGCGCACGCGCAGAGCTGTCCTGCGTGCCGTAGAGCATCATGGGAGTTGTAGTCTGGCACGCTACTGTCCCTCCCCGCCGTCGTGGCGGTGCGGGACCGGGGTGAGCCCCGGGGTGGCGGGGGATTACCGGGATCTCGGCGCGGTGCTAGCAGCTCAATGGCCCAGTCCCGGAGTAACCGGCGTCCTGGCCCCTCCCACGCCCCCGTTCGGGGGCGTGGGAGGGGCCAGGGCGCCGGTTACTCCGGGACTGGGCGTGAAGCACCGAGCACCGCTAGCGACGCTGGGAGGTTGGCGGTAACGGGGACACCCCGGTTAATTCCCTCGCCGTGGGGACAGGGACAAGGCGGGGAGAGCTTGATGTTGGACTGGGATGAGGGGAGGGGACAGCGTGATCTGTGCCCGGGACGGGGGGGACACGCGGGGAGCGGCGGGACACGGAGATGGGGCTGGGTGGAACTTGGGGACAGACAGATTGCGGGGCAGGGACTGCCATAGCCTGGGGTGGCCGTGGGGACAGCTGGGACACGGGGATGGAGGGATGGGTGGATCGTGGGGACAGTGGTACCCGGGTGTGGGGGAATGTGAGGGTGGCGGGACACGGGGACAGCTGGGACACGGGGTGTGGGACAGCCACAGGCAGGGGGCTCGGGGTGGCAGGGAGGTGCCAAGGACCTCGAGGTGGCAGGGATGTGGGGACAGCCATCCTTGGTGACGTGGGGAATCAGGACCCGGGGACAAGGGAAAAGTGTGGGATAAGAGGATAGCCCCACTTGGGAACACGGCGACAACCACGATCCACAATGCTGTTCACGGCGACAACTGTGACACGGGGGCACGGCCACCCCTTGCTCTCTGTGTCCCCAGACCCCGCCTGACCCTCATCCCATCCCCGCTGTCCCCCACGGACCATGAACGTGCTGGCCCCGGTGCGCAGGGACCGGGTCATCGCCGAGCTGCCCGCGGTGAGAGGGGGCCCCGCCACCCCGGGCCGTCCCCGCCGAGCCCCGCGCTCACCCCGCTGTCCCCCTTTGTCCCCTCGCAGTGTTTCCGCAAGGAGGCCGCCCTGCACGCCCGCCCCGCCTTCCACCCCACGGTGGCCGGAGCCTGCCGGGAGCAGCGGACGGGCACCGTGGGGTCTGTCCCGCGGGTTCGGGGTCCCCGCTCTCGGCCTGGGGGGTGACAGGGACCCGCGGGGCCGCAGCCGCGGGTGGGGGTCCCGTGGGGGTTCCCCGCGTGGGCGCCGCGTGGCCGCCGGCGCTGCCCGGTGCCGAGCCCTGCGTCACGGCGCTGGAATGCGGAGCGGGGGGGACACGGGGAGAGCGGGGCGGGAGCGGGGATACGGGATAAACCGGGGGGGGACACCGGGGGGAGCGAGGGGATCCGGGGTGAACCGCGAGGGGGACACCGGGGGAACACCGGGGATACACCGGGAGAGCCCGGGGAGGGAGCGGGGATCCGGGGTGAACCGGGGAGGGACACCGGGGGGAGCGAGGGGATCCAGGATGAGCGGCGGCGGGACCGGGATGCGAAGCGGTAGGGACACCGAGGGACACCGGAGGAGCATGGGGGTCCGGGATGCGGAACGGGAGGGACACCGGGGGGTGCGCGGGGTCCGGGATGAGCCGCGGAAGGACCGGGATGCGGGGCGGGAGGACACCGAGAGGACACCGAAGGGACACCGGAGGATCGCGGGCGTCTGGGATGAGCTGCGGCGGGGCGGGGATGCGGAGCGGGAGGGACACGGGGGGGACACGGGGGGACACCGGAGGAGCACGAGGGTCCGAGATGAGCCGCGGAGGGCCGGGATGCGGAGCCCTTCGGACACAAGGGGCCGAGCGGTGATGGGATGATGGGACCAGCCCAAACCCCTCGGGGACAGCCCGGGGGTGTCCCCACCCCTCTGAGCCCCCGCGTGTGCCCCTCGCTGCAGGTTCAAGATCTCCAAGATCATCGTGGTGGGCGATCTCTCAGTGGGGAAAACCTGCCTGATCAATCGGTAACGGGAGCCCCGGGGAGGCTCGGAGGGGATGGAGAGGGGGGAAGTGATCCCTGTCCCCCAAAGGGCAGCAGCGCCTTGGGCTGAGCCCAGCTCTGGCCCAGGGGGCGGGGGGCACTGAGCCGCCACAGGGTCGGGGGATGTTGATACCCCCCGGACTCCCCCCAGGTTCTGCAAGGACACTTTTGATAAGAACTACAAGGCGACCATCGGCGTGGATTTCGAGATGGAGCGGTTCGAGGTGCTGGGGGTGCCCTTCAGCCTGCAGCTGTGAGTGCTGGCCAGCCCCCTCCCCACTCACCCCTGCAGCCCCCCCTCACCTCCCACACCCCCCCAGGTGGGACACGGCCGGCCAGGAGCGTTTCAAGTGCATCGCCTCCACCTACTACCGAGGAGCACAGGGTGAGCTCCCCCTGCAGCCCAGCTGTCCCTGTCCCTGTCCCTGTCCCTGTCCCCGTCTCACCCTCCTTCCTCCCCAGCCATCGTCATTGTCTTCGATGTCAACGACGTGGGGTCCCTGGAGCACACACGGTGGGTGACACAAGGCCAAGAGGAGGGGACAGGGATGAGCGTGGGGACCTTAAGGACAGAGAGGGGCTGTGGGGCTGCTGTGCTGTGTGAGCAGTGCTGGGCCACCAGCTGGTGACAGCGGCTCCACAGGCAGTGGCTGGCTGACGCCTTGAAGGAGAACGACCCATCCAACGTGATCCTCTTCCTGGTGGGCTCCAAGAAGGATCTGAGCGTGAGTGTGTCCCCCTCCCTGTGGGCAGGCCGTGTCCTGGCTGTCCCTGTCACCCACCCACGCCCAGCCTGGTTGGCAGACCCCGGCCCAGTACAGCCTGATGGAGAAGGATGCTCTCAAGGTGGCCCAGGAGATGCAGGCCGAGTACTGGGCTGTGTCCTCGCTCACTGGTGAGTCCCAGCGGGGTGGGGAAATGCAGATCCCACATCAGCCGGCTCGGGGGGCACTCAGGGGGTCTCTTCTTCCCCTGGGCCAGGGGAGAACGTGCGGGATTTCTTCTTCCGTGTGGCGGCGCTGACCTTCGAGAGCAGCGTGCTGGCCGAGCTGGAGCGCGGCAGCGGCGCCCGCAGCATCGGCGACACCGTGCGTGAGTAATCCCCGGCCGGCACCCTCCTGGGCGTCCCCCGTGTCCCCCCACCCTCACAGCCACCCTCCCTCCTTCCTCTGCCCCTCAGGGATCAGCAGCAAGGAGAGCGACCTGTACCTGTCCACGCCCCGCAAGAAACCCAAGTGCTGCCAGTGAGGGACAGCCCCAAGCCCTCCGTGCTCTGGACCAAAGAGGGGCGACCCTGGCCGGCCCCGAGGACACGTCCCTGCCACCCCTGGCCTCCCTGGGCACCCCTGGTCTGCCTGGGCACCCCTGGCCTGCCTGGGCACCCCTGGTCTGCCTGGGCACCCCAGCTGGGGCGGGCAGGAGCACCCGTGTGGATCCTGTAGCTATGCAAACCCAGGTACTGCTCGCAGGGGGAGATTCCTTCAGGCTCCCTTTTGTCTTAATAAAATCTTTTTTTATGCTTTGTAAGAAAGGCGTGGGGCTGGGGGCAGGGGGCTGGGGCCGGCTGCGGGTGTCCCTGTCCCCGGGTGCAGCCCCCAGGCTCACAGGCAAGCAGGAGGATGGATGGCTGCCACTGAGGACGAGTTCCTTTGCCACTGAGGACGAGTTCCTTTGCCACCGAGGAGCATCCCTGTCCTGCAGAGCCAGGGGGCATGTGTCCCTCTCAGGGGGACACACGAGGTGACACTGCCACGTCAGTCCCAGCCCAGCTGGTGCTGGTCGAAGCGGGGCTGCAGGCGTGGGGGGACGCAGTGGGAGCACTTGTAGCGCTCCTGGATCCACTTCCCTCCCTCGCTGCTCTCCATGCAGATGGCAGCGACCCCTGTGGGGACACACAGGGGGGGTCAGCACTGTGGGAGTGAGTGGCGTCCCACTGCACCCATGGGTGCCCTCTCCTACCTGCCACGACCCCGCCCAGCCGCTCCACCAGCTCGATGGCCGCTCTCATGGTGCCCCCCGTTTCAACCCACTGATCCACCAGGAGGATGCGCAGGCCTGGAGAGGGGAGAGGCTGTGCGTGAGCGCCCCGTGCCCACCCTGCAGCCCCCCAAAAGGGCAGCACCCCTGGCTCACCGGGTGTGATGGCATCGGTGCGGATCTCCATCAGCTTCTGCTGGCCCGAGTAGTCGCTGTAGGGCTGAGCCTCCGTGTGCACGCACAGGTGCCCGGCCTTGCGGATGGCCAGGAAGCCTTTGCGCAGGGTGGCAGCGGCTGCAGCGCCTGCAGGTGGGCACAGCGCCGTCAGGACCCCCAGGACAAGGGACAGGGACGCTGTGCTCGCCTGTGAGCCGTGCCCTGCTCACCCAGGATGAAGCCCATGGCGTCGATGCCGGCCACCATGTCGATGGCATCTCCCTGGAAGGGCTGCAGCAGGTCGGCCACGCAGTCCTGCAAGCCCTGGGGGGAGAGTGGAGGGGCTGGGTGTGGGCAGCCCCCTGTGGGTGCCCCAGCAGCCTCTGGAGAGGCGCAGCCCACCCCGGGCACCCCGTGGATGCCATCCACCCCGGGCACTGGGTACTTGCGGGTGGCAGTAGAGCCGGGACGGGTCCAGCCAGGCATAGTTGGGACCTTTGACGTTGGGAGCCATCAGTGCCAGGTACCAGCCCTTCTCCCGGGTGGCAGGGACGTGGCACAGGTCCATGCGTGGGGACTGCAGGCGCTGCAAGCACTGAGCATGAAGGGGAGTGAGACCTCCCCACCTCCCCATGGCCTGGTGCCCCCCACCCACACCCACAGCCACACGTGGCACCCCAGGGCCCAGGGCTCCCGTTCTGGCTCCATACCTGGTGCTGGTGGCAGGGCTGAGCCGAGCAGGAGCGTCACAGGGGCGTCACAGACAGCGACAGCTGAGCAGGGGCAGCCCTGTGGCACTGGGCCAGCGCCCTCGGCCAGCTGGACACTGGGACAGAGCCAGGCAGGAACCCTTCCCATGGGACACTGATGTCCCTCACTGGCTCTGCTGTCCCAGCCAGGCAGGGCTGTGCTGGGAAGAAATGAGGCTGTGGCGTTTGTAACCCACGTGAGTGTCCCCAGCACCCAGTGTGGGTGGCACAGAGGGGTGGCACCCTGGGTCAGCCAGCCAGGGGGATGCTCAGAGGGGTTTCCTGCAGCTTTGGGTGGTCTTGGGCAGCGCAGGGATTTTTTGAGGCCATGCACGTCCCCGTTGGGGTGTCCAGGCACTGCCCTGCTGGGAGCTGGCTGCCACAGCGTCCCACCGAGCCAGGGCTGTGTCCTGACTGCCAATGGGCACCAGGGGCAGGAGCTGGCCAGAGGGACAGCCCTGGCAGCGCTCTGGGAATGGCAGAGTGGGCGGCCAGCCCGGCTGGGCACGGGCTCTGGGCTGGCCTGGGGAAGGCACATCCGTGGGATGGGATGTGCAGGGCCACAGGGAGCGACCCTGGGATGGGATGTGAGCATGCAGCACGCACTCATGGGGCATGGGGGGGTGTCACAGACATCTTTTATGGAAAATCCTTTCCTTAGGACTTTTTCTCCTGAGAAGCTGAGAGGCCTCAGGAACAAAATGTAAACAATGGTTATCTGCTGCCGTGGAATGCAACAGGTTGGCCCATGTTGGTTTTTCTAATTAATGGCCAATCACAGTGAGCTGGCTTGGACCATCTGTCCGAGCCACAAACCTTTATCATTCTTTCCTATTCTATTCTTAGCTAGCCTTTCTTCTATTCTTTTAGTATAGTTTTAATATAATATATATCATAAAATACTAAATCAAGCCTTCTGAAACATGGAGTCAGATCCTCATCTCTTCCCTCATCCTGACCCCTGTGAAGACCAACACAGGGAGGTGCCGATGTGGGGAGCACCGCGGGAAGGGACGGGAGGGATTCAGGGAGCATCTGTGGGCCGGGATCCGGGGCTGCACAGAGCATCCTCGGGGATGGATGCAGGGATGAAGGGATGCAGGGATCCAGGGATTCAGGGATGCAGGGACGAACGCAGGGATGCAGGGGTGGGCACGGGGATGCAGGGACACAGGGATGCAGGGACACAGGGATGCAGGGATGCCGGGAGCATCGTTCTCCCGTCGGGGGCCGCTCCGGGGCCGGGGGCTGTGCGGGGCGGGCGCGTCACGGGGCGGGGGTTTGTGGCCGGCTCTTACCGGCCCCGGCACATCACCCCACCGGCTGCCACAGCAACGGGGCCGGTCCCACGGCAGGGGTGAGCCCTTCCCCGCCGGGAGCGTGCGGCGGGAGCGGCGGCAGCGCCCCGGCTCTGCGGGACCCTCCGCGCCGTGCCGCGCCGTGCCGCGCCGTGCCAAGCCGTGCCGGGCCGTGCCGGGCCGTGCCAAGCCGTGCCGGGCCGCCCCGCGTGGGCGGGCTGCGCTGCTCTATAAGGCGGCCCCACGGCGGCGAGCGGCGCGGTGCCATGTGCGCCCCGGGGCTGCTCTGCCGCCTCCTCCTCCTCTTCCTCCTGGTCCTGCTGCCGCCTGCGCCCGGAGCGGCCCCGCCGGGACGGCCCCGCGCCCGCCGCGGGCTCACCTACCCCGGGACACTGTGGTGCGGGGCGGGCAGCAACGCGGACAGCTACGAGCAGCTGGGTAAGGGCGGCAGGGATGCTGCTACATCCATCTTCCCATCCCACCTCATCCCATCCCTTCTCATCCCATCCCACTCCTTTCCATCCTTTCCAATTCCATCCCATCCCATCCCATCCCATCCCATCCCATCCCATCCCATCCCACTCCTTCCCATCCCATCCCATCCCATCCCATCCCATCCCATCCCATCCCCAACCCATCGCTGGGTCAATCCCCACCAATCCTAATCCAGTCCATCCCAGTACTGGTCTGGATGGACTGGTCTACTCCAGCCCCTGTTCCCATCCTAGTTCAATCCCTGACTGTCCCAGTTCAGCCCCCATCCAAGCACCAGTCCAACCCCAGTTCACCTCTGCCCAGTTCCTATCTCAATTCCTCCTGGTGCTGCTCCACTCTTGATTCACCCTCTGTCCCCATCCTGCTCTGTGGTCCATCCTGCTGCCATTCCAGGGCTTTGTCATCTCTTCCTGTTTTTCTGACCAATATTTTGATAAAAAACTTCTTCTGTAGGGCTGACCATTAGGAAAATATCTTCTCACACTCTTCCCTTCTCTTCTGGCCCTACAAAGCCTTTGTTATTTAAGATAGGAAATCGGTGAGGAATTGTGCTTTGCAAATTGCTTGGCCTAACAAAGAGGTGGATCCTGACACTACACTTAAGAATTACCGGCTGAAACTGAGTGGAAAGGAAGACTCAGTTCACAAGTGCAGATCTTCTTTTGCCAATGGACTACTCGCCTTTTATTTATTTCTTAGTATATATTCAAAGCCCATCCCAATACTACTCCACTCCCTGTTGCTATCCTCATCTCAGCCTAAACCCTCTTGTGGTCCTGACCAGGACCCCAGTCTGATCTCCAGTGTGGTGTTGGCACAGCCAGCGCCAGCCTTGTCCTCATCCAAATGCTGATCCAGCTGAGCCCTTCCCACCCATCCTTACCTACCCCAGTCCCCATCCCAATACTGCTCCACTCCCTGTCGCTATCCTGATCCCAGCCTAAACCCTCTTGTGGCCCTGTCCAGGACCCCAATCTCATCCCCAGTGTGTGTTGGCACTGCCCAGTCCCCATCCTAGTGCCAGCCTTGTTCCCACCCAAGCCCTGATCCAGCTGAACCCATCCATCCTTACCCACCCCAGCATCACTCCATGCATGTCAGCCCAATCCAATCCTGATCCCAGCCCAGCCCCAGCCCTGCCTGCAGCCCCGTTTCCCTGCAGGGGAGCACCGGGACACGGATCGCTGCTGCCGGGAGCACGACCACTGCCAGCACGTCATCCACCCGTTCACGGCGCGCTACGGCTACCGCAACCTGCGCTGGCACACCATCAGCCACTGCGACTGCGACCTCCGGTGAGCGTCCCCAAACTGCCCCGGGGCACCTGGGCACACCCCCGGGGGTGGCAGCTTCAGTGCTCGTGGGTGATGGGTCTGAGATTAATGGGAGGATGGCGAGTGTGTGATTTCAAGGCCGTAATTCAGTGGTTGCTTGAGATAGTAATGGTTGTTCCTAGGAGTAAGGCTAATGGTGATTAGATTTGCTTGGGGGTTCATTAGCAGGGGAAGGAGTTGAACCATCATTTTTGGGGTATGGGCTCATAGCTTGTTTAGCTGACCCTACTAAAAAGTAACATAAAGGAAGTATGGAGGGTTTTGATTCCTTTAGTGTAGGTTAGATTCCTGCTTTTCTAAGTACTAGGAAATGAGAG